TGTCTCCTTTACAGCTCAAGAAACTAGAGAGGATCCCTTCTGAGTCTCTTGCCCTGCCTTCTGTACACCTGTGGGAGCTGCAGTCTCCTAGCTGACCGTACCCTAGGCAGTGTCTCTTTGCCCAGTCTCCCAAGGTCTTTCTCACATGCATTACAATCCTTAGGAGGAAATGATATAATTAAAACTCTGCTCCTTGATTTACGTTACACATGGAGGGAAAAGATCATCTTCTAAGTAATGGCTCCACTATTAGAGTTGCCGCTTACCTAGAATTTTAGGGGTCATCAACCATGACACCGTTTGTCTTCCGTTTGCACAGATACAATAGGAATCCTCCATCTTCTCCATCGGAAATGCCTCAAAGTCATCAGAAGGAGTCAGAGATATTTTGACCTGTCCATTTGGAAAGAAAAATAGTTCAATGGGAAATCTATACATCTCCCCCTGCAGTGCAGAGAAAAAGCTCATAATCATCATTTCCCACGAGGCCCCTGTGAGCCTTTCAAAAAGGCCCTGAAAACATGGTGTCTTCAGCAACATTGGGGATCCCACGGGGAGCCTGCACAATGGTCATACTATCATTAGGTGAATGTTCCTCTCCCCCAATTTTGCTTTTATTTATTTGTTAAGTTTTTAACACCTGTGATAGTGTCTGAATATTTGTTTGCTTGTTGGACTTTTATGCCACCATCTTCTCTATACATATACACACGCATACACCCACACATATACATATATGAATGAATGAATGAAAAGGATAATGTACAGCCTGTTCAAAACTCTTTTATTCTCCTAGAAACTAGGCAATATGCTTTGAAAGGTTCCATCTTTACATCTATCTTTGTCAGGCTAAGCTCAAGAACAATTCAGCCAGACTTCAAGTCTTTCTCTGCTTATACACTATAGACAGAATCTTGCCAGACTAAACCCTTACCATTCCCTGTCTAACAGGGATATAACCTGGGAGATTCTAGGGAGTGGCTATCCAAAATCTCTCTCTCCTATCCCACTCTAAGCTGTGGCGCCCATTCCCCCCGCCCTTTCTAGAATATGCCCCTCTTCCTGGGAAACTGCTACTTCATGATAACCCACCTCCCCAACTCTCCCTCCATGTGCATCATCATGTCTTATAGTCTTTTGGAATAAATTATCCCTTGGAACTGGTTGAATTAAAACTTCATCATACTTCCATATTGTAGGCATGAACGTATGAGGAAGGAAACAGCCAGGCTGGTCCAAGTATTTTGTTGCAAAAGATAAAGAATTATGCATTATATAGTATTATGTCCCGAGTCTTGACATCACAGTACATACAGAGCACAGTTATTCTAGTGCTTGAAGTCAGAATCCAACCAACTTCTCTTTGCTATTCTTGGTAAAAATGAGCAATTAAATAACTCAAAAAGGGGGATCAATCCAGAGGTTGGTTGCTCCCGGTTTGGCCCGGATCGAATGAACCGGTAGTAGTAGCAACGGCAGGAAACTCCGCCAATCCGTCCAGACACATTGCGCAAGTGTGCGCACGGGCAAACCAGTAGTAAAAAAATTGGAATTGGAATTGGAATTGNTGATTGTAAGCCGCCCTGAGTCCCCTCAGGGAGAAGGGCGGCCTATAAATCTTAATAAAATGTCAAAATGTTAATAAATGACTGCTTTTGCCAGGTACTGGCATTTTTACTTTCAGTTTCTAGTGAAAAACTAGAAAATGAATTCTCCTAACAACCCCCATGTTTACTTAATGACTGTCGTAACAAAATGACTGTAACTTTAAGTCCAGCCACCTGATGCCTCAACTTATATCTGCAATGACTTATACTCATTATTCTGAGCTCAAGTACAGCCATAAGTTGAGGACTAACAAGTAGAGAGGTTTCAGTGAACCCCAAGCCAATAAATCACCCCGGTACCATCATAATAAGGGCCAATAAGATCATTAACAGAGTGTTAATATGATGCTAATGTGACAGGATTCATTCCATGATGGCCAGAAGGCGTATCGTCTCCAGCTTATCTGCCCATTGATAGAAAGACCCGCCTCAGCTATCTTATCAGAAAAGCATGACTCTTGAAAAATTGGCATTTCAAAAGGAACTTTTACTGAGAGAAAATGATTGCAGAGAACTGAGGCAGAGTCTGAAATTCATGTGAGAAGCATTAGGCTAATTTTCCTCTTCAAACCCCACCCCAATGCTCTGTGTCCAATATGATGCCGCAAAGATATTTTGAGAACTCTGAGGTAGGATGGTGATAGTCGTTCCTCCTTGGGGATGCTGCAACCTTGGTAACAGGCTGGAACCGGCTGGGAGGGAGTCCATCCTGACACTCCAGTCCCCTTCCCTAATTCCCATGCAGTTACAGCCAAAGCGAAAGCATTCACCCCATGAAGAATCCCTCCTCTCCTTCGGAATGGCAGCATCCCTGCAGGGACCTGACCTCTGATTTCCTTCCAATGTTCATTAGTTAGTTATTCGTGGAATCAGTGTATGCTTTCATCCTTATATAATGAGATGGGCAGCAAGTACATTTACTAAATAAATATTTATGATAAATAAATAAGTAAGTAAGTAAGTAAGTATGTATGTATGTATGTATGTATGTATGTATGTATGTATGTATGTATGTATGTATGT